CGAGTCTACCGGTAGATCCCGGATGAAACGCTCACTCCCTCTCTCCTCTTCATTTATTATAATATAATAATATTTCAATGATATAATATAACAATATTTCAGTAATATAATGTAATAATATTTCGATACTTTCGATACTTTAAACAATTTATTCCTATTACACAGTTGTCGGACTCTTTTAGTCTTCTGGAGAACCATAATTATAACTATGAATGATAATTTATCAATAGTATTATAGAACCATAATGTATTCTGTTTCAGGACTCCGATTGGGTCTCATGCAATCAAAGCTTGGCTTAATCCAAATTCTGAGCAAATACGAGGTGTCTCCTTGCAAAGAAACGACTATTCCGTTGGCTTTGAACCCAAAAGCAATATTTACCACATCGTTAGACGATATACCCTTGCACGTTCGGAAGATTAATTAATTCAGTAGCTGCTTCAATCGTCTGTGATATCGATAGTTGTGCAGAATTCGAATGCTACAGTTTTCATAAAATTGATACGTGTCCTAGAAATCGATATTTTGAACAGTCTTTTGCTAGAAACAAGAAAATAATTTGATTCATTTATGAATACTTCATCTTTATTAAAAGAAACAATGATACTAACTTGTTATTTTATTCATGCAATAACATGTTAAAAATACTGTGTACAGGATAATAATTGGACAAAAATGAAAAATATAAAAATTAAAGAATCGAAATATTCTGGAAGTTCATATTATATTAACATATTGAGCGCCAGCGACTTAAGAGACATTTAAAGCCTGAGCGCCGACAACGTATTGGCCACTTAGCCCAAACACCGGCTTGATTCGCTTGTATCTGATCAATGAGTAGTTAAAAGAAATATTCAAAATATTATACATTTTCGTAAAATAGTACATTTTAATTACATATTCGTCATATCCAGAAATGAAAATCCAGAAATCCGCATTATTGCGGGGCCGGCACTCAATGTGTTAATGTGTACTAAAGTTATTATTACGTGGCCACAAGCCATTTTGTACCGTCACAGATCCGGCTCGAAGGATCAACAAATGTTGCGTAGTAGATCCGGCTCGAGGTACCGAAAAATGCGACGTCGCACGTACACGAATACTAACGCGGATTAAATTCCTCGGCTGGGGTTGTAAATCCCAGCTTTAACTGTAGGTCTCGTTAATACTCGCGACGCGTCGATTTACGAATTTCTTCAGAAATCGACTGATTCAACTCTGATCTCCGACTGGTTGAGATCAGATCACTAGTTGTAGTTGTCCCGAACGATGGACTGAGTACTGTTTGAATGAATGAATGATATCTCGTTACTCCGAACGATTGAGTATCTGAGATATCGTCACTCCGAACGATTGAGCGACTTATGTGTCCCGAACGATGGACTGAATGTTGAATGTGAGAAAAAATCCCTGAGATGTCGTCACTCCGAACGATTGAGCGAAAAATCTCTGTGTAATGATCGAAAAAACCTGTCGAGTGCGATCCTGTAGGTGTTTTTATACGACACCTACAGGTTTTGTGTCGAGTGCGCTGATTGGGAAATTGAAAATACCCAATCAGCACATAATTCCAAAAATCGGGGGGCGTCTTGGACGACGCCCCTTGGCCTGCCCTCTTGGTGCAAGAGTGAGGGCAATGACCACGTGCGAGGGATCCTCGAAGATTTGCCGATGCCTTGGAAATTTCCTCCAAGTTGACGCATGGCTGGCGGAACCGTTACGAACGAGGTTCGCGTCGACCCTTCGGAAATTCCCGGTTTATGATATGGTCGGTTGTCTGTACGAACGACGAAAATTCCAAAACTATTGTCTGGACACGCGCGGATTGACTAAATGATTTTCTCATGATTTAGGGTGCAATTGCCCCTTGTAACTAAATAAATAAACTGAGTTCGAAAAAAGCTAATCCCGAAAGTAAATTTGTTGGCACGTCCATATCATAAACGAACCTTCGAGGATTTTCTCCGTTTTGTTCCGCGTCGGACGGAACACATTTTAAATCGCCATTTTCTATAAATTTGAGTATCTTTATATTGTAATTATAAAATATTTTATAATGACTACAATTCTTTAGGAATACCTTGTACTAAATAGTCTTTGTAAGTTCTGTGTAACAATAAATAAGGAAGTAAATACCAATCTGAAGATTGTTGCATCAGATATTCTTATAAATTCAGGTAAATAATTAAAATTTCACTGTAAATCTCCATTTTCAGACTTCAATAATTTATTATTGAATTGTTGGTGAAACTACATTTCACTGTTTATTGTAACTAAGGAAAAAACAAAGTCCCAAAGAAATAAGGGGGCGTATAAATGAGACTCTTATGTTTACTTTACTGAAACTTAGGCTAAGTTTTAAAGAAATTTCACTTCTCTTTTCAAGTTTATTTCGGTATAAGACAATTTATAATAATTGATAATCCATTGCATACTCTCGATCACACTTAATAACAATGTAATAATAATTATAATAATAATCTATTTCCGTTTGTTTGATAATTCAATTGGGATCAGTCATATTTACTACATTTGATTACTAGACATTTAAGTAACTATATGTAATTACATTTAATAATAAGTTTTAATAAGTATTTCAGTGGTCATTTTTTAGTGCTTCTGATTTCAAGAGAGTCAGCGCAGATTTATTTTACTACATAATTTTAATGAGAATCGGCATATAATTTTTAATTATGAGACTGTAGTGATTTGTTTTTGAAACAATAAATTTTCATTAATTTACTGCAAAAGATTTACATTACTCCATTATACCTTCAATATACCTTCTCAACTCATAGTAAATCGATTTCATTTTTCATACTGCTAAGAAGCTTTCAGTAATTTTGCTTCAAAATTCTTTTAATCGTATCACTAATTATCTGGGTGCCCACAAATAAACGAACAGCATTGTCAAATAAAAATAGATATTGCCAAAATAATTATTGGATAGTGTACAATTAAACATTCAACAGTATGTAAGTAGTGAATCCATCAATTTCCTGATGTATTACAAAGATCTTTAAGCAAATCCTTGTAGAATTTAATTGGTTCCTAGACTGCTGATGTTTATGCAAATTCGCGTATCGAAGGTTTCCGTACGAAAAGGAGAATTATACGAAACTTTACCTTGTGTAATAATTGTTCTTTCATGTTCTTGTTTTTCTTTTTTGGTTGAATATGAGCAACAAACTTCGCTGGATTTTATTAAAATTTTTATTTTTTTGTATTTTGCACATTTTCTTGTACAATAAGTCCACAAAGATCCGCAGTCTAGTGATTACACAAGAAAGACAGTCGAGATTCATTCTGGACTATCTATGGACCATTTTTTCACGCACATAATAACTATACAATATCATGGTAGTAACTCGCCCGCGAGCTTAGCAAGCATTCTTCGTTCATCGTTCCATGATACTTCTCGCCAAGTAAATATACATTATACGTAAACTAGTTGTTCATTTTTCACGTAATTCGTACATCTCAAATTGTTCCTTTTGTTACAACAACTGTAGGTCGCTAGTTTCTTACAGCTCTCTTAATCTTTATCGTGAATTTGCGGCATACGCGATAATACGGTACTACGGCTTAGCGTGGTAGCGTTTTCCCAAATTTTCGTAACAATTCACATGAGATTGTATTTTAAATAGCGAATTAGGAACCCAAGGGGTCAGCGTGTGAGAAGCTTAGAACTATTTTCCTTCTTTTAGGAAAGGGTAGAACCACATTCAGTGGTTGAAACATATTTCAGTCGATCCATTTAGCTAAAACATGACCCAAGAAAAGAATTCTTTTGGTCGTATGAATTGATTAAAAACTGATGCTGAGATTCATTCGACACGTTTAGGAATGAATGTAATGTAATGTTGTAGAAGTTTCAGAAATCTTGAAATCACGTGTTGATATCTTGTATTCTCTTGGAAGTTCATGATTCTAGGAACCGTATACGAAAATAGAAAGTATTATTTTATAAAGAAATGAATAATGGAAAAGGAAACAAGTAATTCACCTTTTTAAATGAATCAATATGCTAGATTACTTATGCATTTTATTATACTATGGCTAGACATATTGGAGAGGAAATGTGAACACGGGTCTCTATTTTTTTATTGCAAGTGAGATTTATATAATGAAAATTGTGTGCTAATATTTTGATAATTATTATCAATATATACGTAGTTAAGTAATGACATAACGAATTACATACAAAATGTGATTATGTTAACAAGTGTAATTAAAAAAAACTATTTTCATGGAAAGTTCAACGATTCACTTATTAAAGATATTACGTTATAGTATATAAAACAAAGTTCTCATTAATTGCTACTTTTTCTGCACATTTTTTAAATGAAAAACTATGCTGACAACACAGTAATAAATAAACGATTAAATTTTATGTAAATCTAATGAAATAAAAATGGATATCAATAATGTATAATGCCTTTCATCTTTTATAAATACAGAATTGCATTAATTAAAAATTCTCATTATTTCGTGAACAGAAAAGTATACAAAAGCGTTGAATTTATATCAAATAAAATTTCGTACCTTCTGATAATTTTTTTTGTCGCAAAGTTCACAAAATTGCGTCTTGCACCATACCTCAATGATAACCCGTTTTGCTTTTACATGTTAAAGTATTCATAAACATTAGTTTTAAAAAAAATTTAAGCTGTTGTTTAGAACGAGATTTTCAAAAAGCACTTAATAATGCATTTCTATTTTATTTCAGTTTGATATTTATATCAGAAAAAAGAAATAAGATTTAAATCCTAAGAAGAATGTCACCGAATTATATTTCAGTGTTAAAAGTTAAAGAACCGTAAATTTAAAAAAACATATTTGGTGGTATATATTTTCAAAATTATTGATTCCCTGTATGAACATGTCTGCAATATATTACAATTGTAACCCCAAGAATTTTTCACATATTTTATCGGTGTCAAGGAAATTGTAAATTTAAAAGCCAACTTCAAAATTGGTCCCATAAAAAGCTTACCGCAGAATACATAAAATCATTGTTTGCTAGTAAGATCAAAATACTTTCGAATTCTTGAGATACCTTTCTACAATACAAATAGAATATTATATGTTTCAGATAAGACTGATAAAAAATTGACACGTACTCCTAAATACACCCACGTACCGAAAAATACAGTGTTCCAGCAATCGTAATAATATTACAAAAAAAGTAAGTACAAAACTTGTAATAACATTTTCTATGGTGCAAACGTCAAAAGTTCAATAAATCTGCATTTTGCATGTTTGTATAATGTTTATGCGAAAATCTGCTGGAAAATGTATTAAAATTTCATTAGATAAATTAATACAACAGAACAATTTCTTAATGAAATACTTAAACGAATGAAGTTTCTTGAAATCATCTTATCATGATTGTTATAAAACATTCAAATTTGCCATATACAATTTTTCCAATTCTAATAATATCTGAAATATTTTACTAAAGGTGTTTCCTAATCCAACTTGAAGCCAGTTTTCACGCTTGTAATATAAATAACATCTAAAGAAATTAATTAAATGTAAAATACATTTGAAGGAACTACTTTTTCAGTGTAGCAGTTTTATAAAAGGAACTATACGGTTTCCGGTTATATGTTAATTGCGAAAACACCGTGTACACGTTAATTTTTCTAAGCTTCTCCAGAAACTGGACCCTTTAAGCCACAGACGATAAAGGTTAAAAAAAAGAAGAGAACAAGTGGTTGACTGTAGTATGTATTCCACATCGTCACACGTGCATCCGGTAAAACTTCTTGTTCAACGTTCAACGATCAATTTCTTACTCGCTAATTAGTGTTGCTGTAAGGTGAGATGGAGTCGAATGGACGATGAAACCGGGAACATGAGGATAACGCGGAAGAAACTCGGGTAATTGTTCCAAATCACGACTAATTTAAATATTAATCATTAATACTAATAATATTAGGTTGTGAAAATAATTCTCACAACGTTCGTAGTTTACCATCGCTCGTTTTGCCTCTATGCAAAATAAGGATGTCACAGAATCTAAACCAGATCTAAGCCAGAACAATGTTCTGAGAAAACTCAAATTTTCGTACTTCGTTTTGCATTCATCAAAAGTCAGTAAAAGGATTCTCAATGTCGTTTTTCATAACCGTTTTTCCTAAACCTTCCTTTAATCAAATAATAATTAAATAAGTGTCTAAAAGATGAACCTTTGTTATAAATGTTTCAAAAATTCATTTTCATGATGAAAGGATAGAATATGGTATAAAGACTGTTTCTACGAAGTTACGTCTTTTATATATTAGACTAGATGCCAGAAATTAGGCATAAAGAAAACTGAACAATGATGACTATATGTCAAAATAGCTTACGTTATAAATTCTAATCTACAAATCTAATAATTTATCAATTCTGTGCAAAAATGTATTACCTATTAGCGAAGAGAAGAAAAGGTCTTGCTAGAATTATATATCTTTAGAAAGTAATGAATCACTTTATAAATATTGAATTATTATTTTCATTTTTCAATTTGCATGTTTCCAATTCTAATGATTTGTTTTTCCACCGTCTTCTAAAATTTATGAAATGTAATATAAGATCTAGACACCCATACTATTTATTTTGTTTGAAGAACAAGGCATTTCAATTATTTTGTTAGGGGACTAATAAGAACTGCTAAAAAAAAATAGGCAGTCTATTTGAAAGTGGAGTTGTAATTCAGAACAATTACTGGAACTCGAGCCGAAGGTGAACGGTTTGCGGGGAACTCTAGAATCCACACGCTGCCTAGGCGTTCTGGGTCATCGCAATCACGTTCTTTAGTGCCCGTAGAAAAATGAGGGGAGTCTAGCACGGTTTCATGTAATTGACGAGAATAATTGGGACACGAGGACTACCTCGGCGCAGATAAACAACGAATTGACAAGTAAAAACACAACGCGGTAAATATTTACTTTGAAGGGCATTATATCGATGACCTTGGAATCGCATATATCGTTAAGGACATAATTATAAGTAACTTTTCCTAATTATTATTATTTCGCTTTCACTGTTACCGACATACTTTCCTGTTAGCAACTTACACATGCGTTTATATGTCCATTCTATATTATTTTATTATTATTGTAAGCGAATTGACAAGGTATTTCAAAGTCATTAAAACTGATAGCATGTACCTGTTTGTAAATGACTACCAAAATTTCGAAACATTTTTGAAGAATATCTCAAAACCTGATCGATCAGCACTTGATTCAATGCAGTAAAATTTCAAAGCTTTGATATTTAATATTATTCTTTGTGTAATGCATCAGTATTGAAGTAAAATAGCTTTGTTTCTCAATTTATGTATAATTTCTCATTAAGTTAATTTCAAGAAATATCTTATATTTCTTATATCTCATTAGAAAATATCGAATATATCCAGTGTAAAACTTCCGAGTTGCAAAGGATGATTCAATATATAATAATTATTAGAAAGTTACTCAGAATCGTTTTTCCAACAACATACACAAAGGTCAAAGTCATCGACGTAGTGTCCCTTAAGGTAAACAACTACCCGTAATACCGTAACCCGCTACGACACGATTGGACCTTCAAATTCCGTATCCGTTTCGGTTGCGGTTCCTTCGGACCGAGCCATCGGGATCCGATCCACGACGATCAGCGCATTTGCTTGGACGTATAATGTCGGTGATTGGAAAGTACGATTGTCGGCACAGATGGTCCGAAAGATTTTAGGAAAATTCGCCTCACTAATACATCTGACGGATAATCGGTTTTTACTGTCTAGGAAGAGACAAATAAATATTGACAAAGGTCAGGCACAGACAGCGAGCGATAGAATGGAAAAAGTATTTGATCTTTGGCTGTCGTTCGATCCGATCGACGAGAATGATCTAAATAAGTTTCGCTCACCAAGTATGTTTCTTTTTTCTCTTTCGAAGTAAAGGGAACGTTTTCGAATATTTTCCATGCGTCGACGCACGATCGAACACTTTTTCCATTCGTACCGCTGGAAGTTTAATAATTTATATTATAGCGTGTATACAACGTTGTTATGGCTCGACGTAGTTCATTCGCTCGAAGACACGGTTGAGTCTCTTACATTCGTCGATCCTTTCTTTGATCTTCCACGCGATTCACGCGCCGTGAATATTCCACGGGTGGAAAGATTTATTTTATTTAATTTATTTACTTATTACGGATGGCGCGGCGAGATTTCATATCCAACTCAGGAAGGATTGTGGTGGAAATTATTCGCGCAAATCTTGAGTGCCGCGGGAAGAGATTGAATGTGCGCGGTATATTGAGTTTCAGACATTTTTCATGTGTATTCGTTAAGAATTCTTGTGGTTTGGAGAAATATGTTTAATACAGATTGTTTTCAAATGGGAGAAATATGAAATTTTGAAAGGCTGTAAAGTATTAAGGTTTTAATAGTGTACAGTTAATATAAACTATGAAAGACGTAAAGAATTTTAATTAGTTGTTTATAATCGATCCCTAAGATACTTTATTGATAGAAACAAGTTAATTGTTCGTATTACTATGAGGATATAGTGTAACGATTGCTATCTGAAATAAACAATTAAAGGTTCCTTTTTGTAAAGAATTTTAATGTTTGAATTATCATAGCAAAAAGATTTATTCATCAAAACTATCGCCAAATATTGTGATTTATTTATTTTATAATCTCAAATTATTATTAAGTTTTGTTTGTTGCTGAAATTATCTACGTACTAAAAGGAAATAAAAATACTGAATAATTTTTTCGAATAAAATGTTGACAATGAATAATGGAAGTGAAGAGACTGTTGTTAAATAAAATAGTAGTATCATATTTTCTAAATTTCTTTTACTTTTGGACACGAAATTACATGATCAATTCAACGACAAACTGTGTCCTTTAAAATAAAATTGCAAATACCAATTAATGCAATAGGTAGGTGCGAATTTGCCAATTTAGCAAAGGATTTTATATGTACATATAAAAACATAACAAACACCTGAGCAAATTGAAAACATTAATTTTTATTACTTGGACAAGAGAAATTTAATAATAAATTTATAATCAATCTTGAGCAGCTAGAAAAAAATCATTACTGAACACACTTGAACCTAGGGTAGCGTAGAGTCTGTTTATTTAAAACTTCACACTGCATTGGTTGCAGATAAAATTCCTCGACTTATAAACGCTTTACTTTTCTTCAACAACAGAAAAGTAACATTAAAAACTGTCTACAAATGTAGACCAGTTGCAAGAAACAATAAAAAACAAACAACATTTACAAAGAAACATTGATGTCACAATTTTAACAGTATATTCCTCCCTTGACAAACATAATGTCCAATGATTTTTCAGCACAAATATTAACAATCATAATTTATCTCTAACAACCTCCTTCGTCGACACACGAACGAATCTCTTAACATGGCGTCGCCCCACGTAGAGAGTAGCCGTTAAATTCATTGTAACGTTAGCTAAAATCAATTCCTATAATTACAGAAAACAACAGTGGTTATCACATTTTGAGGAATATTATACGAAAGAAAATTATCCTAAGACCCCCATATTTCTGATTACCAATCGATTTCTTTAGCGATTATTATGTTTCGTTAACGCTATCGAAATTCCTTTGATTCTTTTTGCCTACTTCTCTATATTAAATACCATACATTTTAATCGATAATTTTGCATTCTTTCAATTCGCTCGAATCTCTTCCCGCAGACTCGAAGGGAAATATCGAACGAGTGTTCATGCAGAACGCAGAGGGTCGCTCAGTCCGCGCGAGTGCGGGTTTCTTCTTTCCGCTCTACGATCGCCGTAGAAACCGAAGAATACCCAAAACGAGTTTTGGGTGCTGAAGACAATAACGTAAGACTAGAGTTCAACAATACATGCGGTTTTTAATCGCTGTACAGACACACTGGTTGGAGTATAAAAATATAAACATCTAAAAATGAAAAAAGAAAGCGAGACGCCGTTAGAGAACTAATTACGTTTAAGACTGAAAAACACATGCGTAATGGCGCGCTGTGGACGAAGTAGTCACGTGGGTTTCCTTCTCCACGAGGGAGTTCGCGTTAGGCTGTGCACGTGTGTATTTTCTCGGTCATCGTTTTTTCTTTTTCTTTCCTTTTTTTTTGTTTCGACGCGGTCGCGAGTCCCGGACTTGGAGGAGATTTGTCGATCTATTAAAAATTTAGCGACACGTGGAAAACGGGTAGAACGAAGAGAGGCTACTTTCTATCAGAAAATGTTGCAGATGTTATTTAAAGGGGCATTCCCTATCTCCAGTCTTCGACTTTGAGCAGCGTTTAAACGCTATGACTCATGACAGCAACGAATCAGCGATGTAAATTGTTTTTGTTTTTTCTTTCCAAAATTCAGTATATTCAGTATGTTAATTTTTTAAAAATATACATATTCATTTATTGAAATTATCCACGAAACACGTCGTAGCCTTAATGTTTACTTTATGTGAAAATTATGATTTTACATAATTCGAGGGAAAGTGGATAAGCTTTGATGTTTCGTATAAATATGTGCTAGCAAAACAGTTGTTCCAATAGTTCACTTTTGGAACGAATACTGCCGTTTCAGGTTAGAAAATTAAATGTCATTAGTTGAGAAGAATTCGTGGAGAATATAGTAAAACGATGCTTTGATAATGTTCGCGATTTTTTAAAAATTGTTATAGAATAATTTAATTCACCTTTAATTTCATATGTTCTATACGAATGTCAGTTCAAAAATATTCTGTGGAAAATGTTTTCAAAATATTTTTCAAATTATTTTTAAAAGGCAAAACAATAAGAATGCGTGCTAAAAATCGTTTACTTTCCGGCTTTCTGAGTGAGAATACCCCTTTAAAAAAAATTCGTAAGCGTTATTATTAGAGCCGTTCTATCCACATGTGTTACTTGACTTACTATTGACTTTCAATCAGAGGAAGACACATCGTCACGAGTAAACACCATTTATTAAACATCCATCTAAATTTCTGACAGATCAACGAAATCGTTCTCCATACGTTCTCCGTCGGTATTCACGGTTATTTCGTCTCTTTCCTCGCGGTGTTCATGGCGTACGAAAAAAATGTCTTCCGTACGGTACCCATTACTTTTGTTCTTTTCATTATGTTTTAGATGTTCAATTGCAATTAGACACGATGTGTCCGTCTAAATCCGTTCCATTTCCTATCTATCTACGCGTTTACTCTCCTGTATCGTATAGATTTGATTTCTTTTATATATACGATTTTATTTCTTCCCTTATATATCTATATATTTATATACGTACGCTTTCGTCTTAATGAGAGTTGCATATTTCTTTCACGTCTTTGTATACATTGCGTTTTGCATATATGTATATGTATACATATATAGCTTTTTTTATGTATATATGTATAATAACGAACAACATTAATGATTAGGCTATTCTTTTAATTGGACAATAAATAAAATAGTTTATATATCGCGCATGATTTCTCTCTCTCTCCCTCTCTCTCTTTCTCTGTCTCACTCTCACTCTCTCTCTCTTTCTCTCCCTCTCTTTCTCTCTCGACATACCTAAAACCAAGTGCATTTTGCCCTTTGATTCTTTATGTCTCTTTCCACCTTTCACATTTCTCCTTTGCACCATCGCTTGTCTGCAACGCCCGAATCTCATTGTTCGCAATATTTTTGTTTTTTACCCATTTATGCTTTCAGAACGGAGATCCATAGTTAGGAGCAATATACATATATTTGGTATTTGCCACCTGTTCGACAGTTTGGCCTCGACACGAATGCTAATTAGACTCACACACTTCTCTGGCTACATTTGGAAACAGCTAATCAACTTACTACACGAACGTACTAAGACATTTTTGAAATTGCGTTTGATCCTCGTTTACATCATTTTAATTTGTTTTACCATCTTCTACCCCTTTCGCTCTCTCTCTCTCTCTCTCCCTCTCACACACACACACGTACGCACGCACGCACACATTCTTTCGCGCAAACACAATGGCACACGCTTTCTCGCTCTGTCATTTTCTCTTTTTCTCTTTCTCCCTCTTTCTTCCTTCCCTCTCTTTCTCACTTTTTCTTTCTTTCCCCCCCAACCCTCTCGCTCTTTTTCTCTCTGTTATTACTTTACAGGCCATCCTCGACGTGGCAAAGCAGTCGAGCTCTTTGCGTGAATTTTCCATGCGTTCCCGTCCGAACGATGTTCATTCGACAAGAAGTGGACGCAAAGCGATCGAATCCTTTCCAGTCTGACGTAATAAAAGAAAAAAATAACACTCGGCCGGTAACGCAGGAGAATCCGTGACGAAGTCTGCCGCGAGTACGTGTTTCTTATTGGAATGCAGATTCTATTAGACAGGGGATTGCCACAGTCCGTAATTTTCAACGGGCCCGGCGTCGCCCCATGAACCCGAGAAGAATTCAACGTATCTTTGTCAGAATTCCTCCGAATGGGACGTCTGTGGCGGGAAACCGAGCTAAAATAACAATTCTCGAACTAACGTAGATCGTGAAAAAACACAGTCGATTCGCGTGCGAAGTAATGGCGGAAGACCACGAATCCTCCAATGTCACTGTTTGCTCCCCTCGGTGTCCGGGCGTCTCAGAGACGCTTCCTCGATCTCTCTTTGGCTCCGTCTGCCTCTTCCCGTCGCCGACTTCCTTCGGATAACGCGCGAGAAGCAGTAGCTTATCGAGGACCGACGAACGAAACGTTCAACCGCTGCAACAAAAGAAATTCTCAGCCAGCCACCTGTGCAGGCCCGATAACTGTTTCTCGGATGCGTCGTCGACCACCAGGCCGTATCACTTGATCTCTTCTCGACTGAGCGACCGCGGGGGATGCGAGGACAACGGAGCCTCTGACGCCTGTCTCTTCGGCCGGAAACTGGCCGTCAGAGAGGATATCCAGCCGCTCGTCGATTGCGAGCTTTGGTCGTGCAATGAGTCGCTATTACTGTTGCTCCTCGTGCTGTCCACACTCATGCCGGACTTGAATCGCGATAGGAGGCCAGGGGACGACTTTTTGGTCGCGGCCGGGGAAGAGAAAATCGGCTTTTTCCTGGTTTTGGTTGACTCCGTACACAGCATCGAGTCGAGGCTACCTGCGTGAGGACGCTCCTCCGCTTTCTTTGGCTCCAACGATCCGAGCATCACGCTTTCAGTCTGCTTCGTCATCTTTGATATGTCCTCCATGCTCGCCGAGCTTCTCCTTATCTCCACCTTACCTATATCACTCTGTAACGCCTCTCCGGAACCGTGTTCAGTCTTGACAACGAGTTCAGGCTTCTGCTTCTTCGCGCGCACGTTAATCTCACCGAACTCGATATCCACGCCCTTCTGCTCCTTTACCTCCTTCAGGCTCTGCGACTTGCCTTCGGGGTTCGAGAAGTTCCGCCTGTGTTTCGCCAGTGAAACCTCTGTCATCGCGCTAGGTAACATCTCCAACGATGTAGATGATCTCTTTTCTTTGGCGAACACCGTCCTCCAGCTCTTGTTCTTGCAGTCGGCTGATTTACGGACCTTCGGCAGCGTCATCGCTCTCTTATCCACCGAACGCAACTCGACCACCGTCGCTATTGCCTTGGGTTCTTTGGCCGGGGGTTTAGCGAGATTGCATCGTTTACAGACCGACAGCGAGTTGTTGTGTCTAGAAGAGGTGGTCGCCACGGACGTGTTGCTCACGGAGTTGCTTTTGTTCAGCGCCTTAGGGACGTGCTTGGTCGGCTTCGGCGAGAGGGAGTCCTTCGAGTCGAAGCTGATGTTCAGCCGGTCCGTGAAGTTCCTTAGTCGAGTGAGGATTGACTTATGGTTGTTGGTTCCCGCTTTGTCGTTGCAGCAACATCGCAGTACCATCGATTCTCTTTGAACTTCTCTGCGACTAGACCTGACGAGCTCCTGATCGTTCTCCGGCGAACTACCCGTCTTCTTGAAGTTGTTCCGTTGCACCTGCGCTACAACATTACCGTTCCCTTCGAGCAGCCTCCCTTCGCCCATCTTCGCGTCCAGCGGAACGGTGTCGTCCTTCTCCAGCTCCTCGAGGATTCTCGTCTCCTCCGCCGACCTCGCGCTGACCGGCGAGCTCAGGTTGCTACCAAGATTCTCTCCTTTACTTCGTCTTCTTTCATGGTCTCGGACAGCCCTGACCAGGTCGTGATTATGATAATCCAGTGAAGATTTCTCCCGACTCCCCTTCCGGCTACCCGGGTAGCTTTTCCTACCTGTTGGCGGGCCCGCTATGGTGCCCTCCGTCGAAATCTTGAACTTTAACGTCTTCTCGCTGATTTCAACCTCCGTCGCTGTCTCGGGGTCTGAGCTCTCGATGTTCTCGGCGTCCTCCGCCGTCAAGTTCTCCGTGATGTCCTCATCAGTGGATCGCGACCTCGAGTGTGTCGTGCCGGTGGAACGTTTCGAACGCATGCTGTGCGACGAGACCGACTTAACTACGGTCGATGAGCCGGTGCCACCTGGTGACGTAGCCATTGGTGTTGATTCACCCAGGTCTGCTACGCTCTTCCTGTGGTGACGCTCATCTTTCGCCGCTTCGTTCAGTCTGCGATAGTATTCTAGGGCTTCTCTTACTGGTTGTACTATTAAGCTCTGCAATAGTTATTTTTTGCTGGTTATAATTCATTTCCGTACGTTGTCGATTTGCAATGGGTTAGTAATAATATGATTAGAATGCCACATAAAATGCATATAATAAGACTAATTTTATCTGAATTCTCTTATGGAATAGTTACAATTGTTTTAACATTTCTTAAATCTTTTAATTTTCAACTTTTGTAAGATTATAGCAGAGAGGCTTTTAACGTAAGTTTTTATTCATTTTGGTCCTGGTAAAAGCTATAATAGAAGAACTAAACTTTCACTTAACTTCGATTTATGTAAATCAATTTACTAAGTTCTGTGTTCATATAAAAATCCGCAGTTTACTAATATTTAAAAGAGAAAAGCGAAAAGTGCTTGCGTGAGATTAAGTTTTTAAGTAGTTTAATTTTAATATTTAATTACGTGTAATGCAAGTTAAATGTTTACATCAGTTCAATGCAATTTTCTTCGCAGAAAAAGTGTACCAGTGTTAAAGAAACCCATTTCATTCTTTTTAGTAATCAAAATGTTAATAAACACACCTGCAACGCTGGAAGCAACTCCCCAAGGGCCTCAAACAGAGGAAGTAGTACCAGGCCGATAAAGCTAACCTGTGACGAAGGTTTAGTTACTTTGTCACGATCCATGAACGGTGTCACCGGAAGTCCCTCGAGTTTCTCCGCGTCGCTCTGCTTAAAGAATTCTTGGAGCAGCCTGTCTAGCCAAGGCTCCGCGACTTCCATCGGCCGGGCTTCGTTACTAATGTCCGCTACTTTAATGAGGATCATCGATAACTGGAACAACAAATTATAATTGAACAGCTATGCTTCGTAATTGCCGATTGACATATAAGTCGCTTGGAAACCAACACGATTAAGTTCATTTTTGTATATTTTTTGACTTTCGTAAATTTTAATGGAATAAATAATATTATTTTCTGTTATTAAAGGATTTCGTTTCTTCGTTTTTTCCAAGTGAAAATACCCCTTCTTTTTAGAGTTTCTGAATATGTTGTATAATAATGTCAGAAGCTATAACATTAATTTTCTCAATTTTTGTTATCCAGACGTAACCGCATTCACTTCTGAGCGACACGTATAAAATAGGAAATAACACATATAAGTGAAAATAGACATTGACTGTACTATATTAATACCCGAGCAGCAATTTTTTTTTATTCAAATTTGTTATCACAGAGGTATGTTGGGTCGTTAAGGCTGAAAATTATGGTCTTCTTCACGAAAATCAACAATTTTATAAGTACAGCACGGCAAATATTTCAGAAACTTTAAGTCTGAATATGTTCTTTTTATTCTCACCTTGCATACAGGCCTTTGCTAATCTTCGCAAATCCATTTCTAGTATAAACAGACCTATCAATTTAGTAAGGCGAAAGACAGCGAATCTAATGTTCTCGATTTTTGTAAGAACCGATGGTGATATTGTAGTGTGTAGACGGTAACATCGATTTGTATAAGATTGATATATGTTGTAGAAATCCATGTTATCCGCTCCTTCGTTTACGCTTTCACGTTACAATTGGCAAATTAGATTTTAACAAGTTAAAATATTGTCAAAATGACTTATTTAGACTAAAAATTTTTCAACTGTTTTTATACTCTGTTTATAAAACTGTCCATTTCCGTGAAGAAAGACCCCGAAATGAGAAATTTGAATAAACAATGTTGCTTAATTGAGATAAGGCTTTCAAGTATTTTTATTATAAATAAAATTGTGCCAAGTTTAATGCTTTTATGATATTCCAGGATAAAGTTATGATATCCACCTCGAACACAATAAATTAAAATTCAAAAATGTCATCGTGTCAGATAGAAACATTATTAGAAAAAATATTAAAAAAAGAAATCATAATAAATTCTTTTTTCCTACAAATATGCTAAAATTCTTTAAATGACAATATGCACTGAAGAAATTAAAAGTACAACGCAAAATTAACTAATAAAGCAAATTAAAAACGATTTAAAGTCTAATTTTTACATTAAATTTTATATCATTTACATTAAACAGATAGTTGCAGTTTAAGGGTTCAGTTAAAACATAGTTGAAATAAAACATGAAAATTAGATATTTTCAAATGCATCCCAATTTTCTTAATATTTTTGTAACTATTTCAAAATATATCCGAGGAGTAATATATTTTTCCAGAAGGTAACTTACTAAATTGATATGGGCTTTGTTGGAGTAATCGAATTCGGGAATGGTGTCGGTGAATTGCCCGAGGATCTCGTTATGCCTGGCCATATCCGTTGCGAGGATGCATCTGATGATCCCCTCGCGCACTATTCGATATGTGGCGTTATCCAAGGATGCCAATATATTGCATTCAGGCGCCTCCAGGACGCGAAACGCCACCGAGCAATGATGGTTTTCCAGAGGTGAAATATCGTTGTACCGTAGGGCCAACTCGGTACGCGCGTTTATTTGATAAATATTGTTGTACCCCGGATGGTCTAGGTCGTGGCAGATGCAGGAGACAATGAGTATGAAAACCTCAAGGTCGCCGATCCGTGATGGCAGATCTACTGCCCAGGATATCGCATACATCTATAAAGTCATAAAAATTAATTGGTACATGCCCCTGATTAAAATGTGAATCTGTTCAAATTCAAATTTTTTAAATTGTTGTTGGAAAAATAGAATTACCATAGAATATTTACCATTATATGCCATATTTACCTAACAAATATTATAAAAAGGGATAAGAACACTACACTTTGGATATTTTATATATTTTTTCGTGTCATGCACATTTTGTGCAATTTTTGCACTTGAACTTGATAATATTTGTAATTTTAATAATTGAAGAAATAGTATTTAGGTATATTACGAATGACCTGAAATATCTATACTTATCAATCGAAAGCTGCCTAAAGTGTAATTTAATCTCTATTGCTTAAATACTTATGAGCGGTGCTGCATGTAATTACACACTGGTAATTCTCGCGAGAAACGCACAGATGTGCACGGAGAGCGCTAAAATTTAGGTACTCTCCATTTTCAAGGTAGACTGCTTCGCAAAGGAACAATAACATAAAGCGTACAAATTTCTAATATCTCTTGGTTTCTATAATCATTTAATAACGGTCTTGATGTTTAACATTTAGTATATCCTTCTAATAACTTAGTTTTTAACAAAAAGAAAATCTGCAATTGTTATGTGAACTCTATAAATAATGATAGGATAATACGACATACCAATTAAAAACCCGTGATCCTAGTTTATTAATTAAACTGTAAAATGCTTCAAATAAGTTGTTATTCGTATACAATCATTATATCATTTATTCGTCACCATCTCACTTAATGTATTCATTTAAATAGCTTGCGAGTTGTTTTACGTTGTATTAATAGAAATAAATATATAATTTTCGTGAAATACTTTGCGTAAAGTATATAGAGAAATTTTGAAAATAAAAAACGTCTTTTCAATCTATGCTATTCAACATTTCGAGTCGTCAAGGAATATCATTTTGAGCAGTATGCATAATGATATTTCTGAAAATTTAGTATGACTACGTAATACCTAAAGTTAGTATAAATACCACTGTTTGTACTAAAGTTATATTCGGTATGATTACAAATAGTTTATAGATTATAACAGCCTTGACATGCACAATTCAATCATTTATTGATTCAAAACATCATTTTCAATTTAACAGTATCACTTGTGTTCTTTTATTCATTAAAAGCTTCCCACATAAAACAAGCGTTCAATTATCTAAAAATGTGTCATTCCATAGATGAAGAAAACTTTTCTCCCGTCGCAGTGATCTACTGAAATTTTCTTATCACTGAAAAAGGGATATACCGTTATTTCACGTTTAAATAACATTTCAAACGCAAACGGTTTTCACAAATTACAATGTCAAATGTCACTCATAATTTCTCTAGGAATCGCATAAGATATCCTTTCATTAAAACTCAACGTATCTGGATTGGACAGGAATATTAGACCAGCACTTCGAAAATCATTTTACATGCTCGAGGATATGGACGACATAAGCGTACGTAATGTATACTTGCCATTTGCGCCACACAGAAGCAGTGCCTGAAGTTATGAAATGGCACTTCGTTATAGTTGTTGTAAACTTCGTAGAGGAAGTTCCTCAGAATTGGTAAAGGAATGTTAAACTTTTGAGGTAGGTCGAGCTCGACGAACATCGTCTGCAGCATCAACAGAAGCTCTTCGTCTTCCCACTGTCGCGCGTCAAACGCCGGCGAACGGAGACACTCACGAACGTTCGATGATACTGACACGTCGCTAAAACACGATTAACGAGGTTAATGTAGGATGGTGATCGATTAACATTTAATATTAAAATAATTAAGGAAAGGAAAGTATATTAACATTAGAAGTACCAAGCCTTTTATATGTAAGCAATACGTCATCTTTATAAAGATTGTAACAATATATTTTTATCGATTTCTTCAGACGTTTGTTATAGTATTTCAGTGAAACTGTGTTTATTTTCGAAATCATTTTGGATATTAAATACTTTGAAAGTATTAATAATTGTAAAATCAGAGAATTAAAACCTGTTATTTTGATGGGTTCGATAGTTCTAGTAATAATTCTTTACTCTGAGAAATTGCCTCTTAAATTAAAGAGTTAATTCCATACCTATTTATTTATCGGTTTGTATAGGAAAATTTAACGTCTATTTTATATATTTATATTTTTATTTATCAATATATGTTTCTCATTTGCCAATATATAAAAATAAAATTATATAAATATAGTAGAGATTAGATCATTAATAAAAAGAATCTTTTACTCCATTATTCTTTTGTGCTATTTTAAATATACATATTTTTCATTCCAGTACCTTTTGTAATCTTATTGTTAGATAATACAGTGATAATTTACTTAATAAAATAATATAAATACTCCCTATAGTTAAAATCCCTTTGAAACTAAAAACACGCCACCGTGACCGTCTTTAATGAAACGAATTAATTTAATACATTATTTGATCAAAGTGTTTCCACAGTTTTGTGAAATATTAGGTTATTTGCTTATTAAACTAATTCAGCATGGAACACAATCCTTCGACAGATCGAAATTATATTAGGAACATATCGATTCACTTGGCTGTTATGACAAATAATATACATATGTACATATACACAGTCTGTCCAGACCCTGGTGCAATAGAGCCTTTACATTTTTTTTTCTCTAACACCATCTCGTAATGAATAAATGCATTGTGAAATTTAACATGTCAACAAAGTCCACGTACAACTTCAATCTGATAGCACCTCTATGTTATTTGTTATTGAGGTTACATTTGACAAGGCTTCGTAGCGCACGTTGAAAAAACTATATGGAGCGAAGGGCCAACATTAAATTTCGCTTTAAGTTATGCAAAACAGCAAGCGAAACGTACGGAATGATGAAAGGCGTGTACAGTAGTGATTGCATAAATCGTGCCAAAGTTTTTAGATGGTTAAAAAGTGCGCATTCAGAAGAGCCGTATCAAGATATTGCTCACCATTTTTTTCGATTCGCAAGGAATTTTCCGCAAGGGATTCATACCTGAAGGTCAAATGGTGAACGCAGAATATTATGCCCATGTTTTAAATCGCTTATGGAACAGGATTCGTCGAGTTCGGCCTCAATACCGAAAGCAAGGGACTTAGTCACTTCTGCACGATAATGAACGAACGCACAAATCCGAGATTTTACGCGATTTTTTGGCCAGAAAAGGTATCACAGTGCTCGAACATCCCCCATATTCGCCTGACTTACCTCCGAGCGACTGTAGGCAATTCCTAAAACTAAAGTTTACGGTGAAAGGAAACCGTTACGACACTATTCAGGACATACAAAGTGCTTAAACTCCGTTTTTGAAGGCAAATTCCGAAAAAGGAATATAATGACTGTGCTCAGAAACTTTTAAACCGTTTCCAGCGTTGTATTGATTCAGGAGTATACTTTGAATAAAAAAATATAAAAGGACCCTATAATTGTACTCTTACATTTTTTCAGTACTGGTCGCACTAGACCTTGGACAGGCTGTGTATGATTGAGTGTATTTGAAAGACAAATATTTTAAATCTACAACTCTTGGTTGAATCTTTTACATTCCAATATATTAATGTTTGGTAGTTAGTGGTGTTGTGTATCTTTCGCACATGTTCAAAGAAAAATTATCATTTTTCTCCAAATGATACAAAGTGAATAATATTCATATTTATTATATTCGACGTAAAAGCTTTGTAAAAAATCTGGCCTAATATAATGAGGTAAAGGGTTAACATGATTTTACCATCAAGATTAAGAGAGATCAAAGAGACTAAGCAGATGTACGTTGTAATGAAGACCGCTAATTGCCAATCCGTATTCAGCCGCCGCATCAAATCGCGTCACGTGATAATGTTTGTTTTGTGATGCTTGCCACAATTGTCTGAAATGGCAGGTTATTACGGAGAGAACGGTAGCTTAATGGCGTTTCGCGGTTTACACAGGAAAGGCAGCTACTGTATTCGATTATTTTTCAGTGAAATCGAACAAGGCGCAGCGATAAGCTTGTAGATGAAAAATATTCGATTTTCAGGAAGTCTTTCTTATTCTCAGCCAATCTTTCGATATTTATAGTGCTTAAATATTATGTTTCTATGTGTTTAATAGAGTTATTTTCACAAAACAAAGTAAAATAGAGATTACCATTGCGATTGATTAAAGTATCTATAATATTTCTTACACGACCTTGCAAAACGAATTTTTATAAAAATTTTCCACTTTCCTCATCTTTTTTCAGAACGTCCTTCTTCAGATATTGAACTTTTTGATACAATTCTTGTATTGTAACAGAAAAACAGGTTTATCCTTAAAGTTCGATGTTAAGAATCTATGGCACTTTCTAATAAGTTCAGGTGGAGATAGAATAGATATACTAGTTTTGGTTGTTTACACGATCATCATGTATTTTACAATTTTAAATTAACTTTCGTACGTGATAATCAAGAGAACTTTTTTTCATAAAGAATTTTGTTGATAAATTGGGTAGGTAAATTGTACTAAGGTTATTACTTACACAGAAAAAGAACATTGTAAGTTGTTATGTCTATTAAAAAAACCCACAGGAGATTTGTGAATGTTTGTTAGAAGTAAAACTGAAAAACAATAGAAGTAATACAATGTGTAAGCAAGAAATAAGATGGTGGTTACTTTACTGTTCTTATTGTTATATAGTAATCGAATCTTAATATCAAATTATTTTAAAAATAATTTTTGATTAGCAAAATATAGATTTCGATCATCACTATTTGTATATACATATTATTTTTATTTCATCGTATTATAAAGGCAAGTATATATTTTAAAATAAATGTCGGTATTGTTCCTTTCAAAAGGGGTAGTTTAGTATAAGACTAGTCACGATGAAAAGTTGTGGATTGAAAACGCACCAGTGCTGTTGAATTGTAGTCATGCTTCTCCAGCACCCTTTTTCACATGAACAATGGCTGTTGTCTGTGTTGGAAAATACTGGTCGCGAAACAATTCTTGTTTTCTTATTTAAATCGTATGGAACAGTGACAAATTTAATGCGGTTTTCAATAAATTGGAATTATTAGCTAATATTTATTTAGGACTATCGAAAATTACTTCTTATTGTTGCTATTTCTAATACTTCCTTTCCTATGTATTTTTAAAAATATAAATTACTTGAATCTTATTATTAAACTTAATACCATAACAGAATCAGTAATTTTCTTTTATAAGAAGTAGTTATAAATTAATTTTATTGAACACAATTTAATTAAAATTATTAATTCAATTATTGTTTAAGTTGAAGATCTACATTTTTAATTAATTTATTTTGTCCAACAAATTTCGAAAGAACGTAAGTATATCTCTATGTATTTATTTTAATTATATTCAATTAACAATATGATAATCAGAACAGTGTTTTCAACAATGTTTTTTGTTCAAAACATTAAAAAATAATCCTTCTGAGTTTAAACCATATTCTGAAAATAAATATTGAAATTTCCCGTGTCTCTCCATTTTTTAAATTTTTCCACAAAAATTATGAACCGCTTTCCTCTTGAAGTCATTTTTAAATGCAATTTCCAGAAATTTTTAATTGTTAACAAAAATAAGCGATGCGTGTTAATAGAATTCAATGCGCTAACGTTGTTGTTACTTTTGAAACTTGACTATTTAAAGAATTTTAAAATGAAAGAACGTAATTCCCAATAAGTTATGGAGCTGATTACGGAGGAAATATTTAAAGACGTTCGTCACTTGTATAGTGTAAGTCAGGGAAAGATGATATACTTTTTAAAAAAGATCTATAACTTCATATTATTGATACCTAATAAAAAATAAAATATACTTATACAAATACATGTACGTATACAATAGGAATAGTTAAATAGATCTCTGTACAAGATTCAATATACCACTGAAAAAAATTGAAAATAGTTGATAATTTTAATGAGATTGATCAACTCAATCACTGAACCATCTCGCTCGGAATTACTCTATCCTTGTTTATTTTTTATCTTCGCTAATGTAATTCTACGCCCGTGAAATAACACGCGCATTAATCATACTCGAAAAAATCCTCCAGTCATCGTATTTCTCGCTATACTTTCCACGAATGTCACGCCGACTCGCAACATTTGCATTATGTCCGGATCAATGTACTCGTACCTCCTTGCGTTAGTATGCAGATCACGTTTGCTCCAGTTTATTTGGCCGGTTTCAACACGAAAATCAATTCACGTTTGTTTTCGCACGCGTTTTTTTCCGCGGAAAAGAAGCGTTTACAAACAATATTCGTGGCTTCGTTCTAATACCGGTGAACTCTCGCGCGGAAAGATTTTCAACGGTTGTTTTTAAGCTTTTACATTTTCTGCGTGGTATACATCACGAATCGCCGCAAAAATAAATGAGAAAAATAAGGAGCAGATTCTGCTGCTGTTTACGGAAATGACTGTAACAGTATTTGCGACATTGTTATTATAGTATCGCTGATATTATAAAAAGGAATTACCTTTTTTTTCTAACAAAAATGGAATAGAAGTGGACACAATTATATTGTAGTATGTTTAATGCAATAGAGATCTTTTTAGAGCAAACTGAATTTTATTTCAGATTGTAGAAAACTGAAAATGGGGAACGTGTATAGATTAAAACAGGTTGCATCGTTTAACGAATTCTAGACCGAATTACACTTCGAACGGGAATTCTCCCACGTCAAAATTGAATCTCCCGTTCGACTGAATTGCACGACCCGCTCTGAAATTCAA